TGGCAATCTGAAGTAAAATAAATCAAGAAGGGGCAAATGCTTTTTTACAGCACTATAATTAGATGTCCTTCTTCTGTGTGTGTAATGTTTTTAAAGGTTGCTACCTCAGAGCTTCGCAGTGACCTTCAGTTCAGTGTTTTGCTACTAGAGTCTATTCTTTACTTGGCTCAAAGCTTAACTATGACCTTACTATCCACTCTAAAATCTGACATAAAGAAACAAGTGAAAGGAAAACAGGAAATCTGCAGTACTCCTCAGCACTGATTGCCAAGGTCTCTGTTACTATGTTGGAGGAATGGAGTACTATTCTTTCAAAGGATTTTCTTTTATTTGGTATCTAGTACACTGGCTTAAAATCAGACAGCGTAAAAATGAGAAATGCCAAGTATTCACTGAGCCTTCATGTCCGGTGGATGGAACAACACCACTGATGATAGAAATGTTTCATCACAGCATAACTGTGAATAACTGTATTGTATTAATTTGCAGTGAGGGAACATCCACCCCTTTGAACATACAAGCATATATGTTCTTTATTTAAATACTCAGGAAAGAAAAACAAGAGAAACGAGACACAAAGCGCTGTCTTTGTCCATTACCGCGAACAATAAATCATACATTATAATCATTTTGCAAACTGCAGTAAGATTTCCGTATTTAATATTAAACTGCATTACAACATTGCATCTGACTTTAAATGGATCCCCATCTCCACTTGCAAAAGACTGAAAGATCGATAGCCTAAGCCGGCACCAATTGCAGGTTCTGATTGTAAAATATTTGCCCCCTTTTTTCCCTCTGTCTTTGAAGTCTAAGGCTCGCTCTGCTCTTGTCCTCCAGTGCTGCCCAGGCCTGATTTATGAGGACAAGTTCCAGGGAAGCTACTCTAAATTACATGGCCCTTAAGCCTGAGCAGAGAGATACAGAGAGAAGGAGAATCGCCACTCCAGAGACGGCTAATTGCAAGCTTGAATCTAACCCAAGGTAGATAAGAAGGTTGCTTACTTCCCAGGCTTGACACATGGGGAAGCGCATATAACAGGTAAATGTGCAATTTGTCATGAAGATCTGTGGGACTAATTTGATAGAAGATGTATTTAAATGAATAATGAATATGCCTTCATTAGTAAATAATGTAAAATTACATATTGTACAGGGCAGAGAAAGAAGTCATTGTGGGGAACAATCAGACTGAGCATGCTGTTGTTTGTAAAGGTGAAAGTCAGAGTGACCGAAGGCCTGCGATTAAAGAAAAGTGAATTACAGCTGAATGAAATGAGCCAAGATGTTGATATTGAACTAATTAAATAAAGTAAAAATAAAAACTAGACTCTTGAAAACATTTTTAACCAACTGAAATGATTTTGCGACCATTTATTGTCAGTAAGTTCGTTATTTGTTAGTTCGGTAAAATTTTATGACAGTTTGTCTGATGAGGCATCGATAGATGTGCTTATTGAGACGCTGCATGTCTACAAGACTGTGAGTCAACTGTTCTCACAAAGTTTTATTGGACTAATTTTCCTAAATCTGACATGTGCTCCATAAAAGTGTAAGTAATACTGAAACTGGTAGAAACTAAGACAAAGTTAAAACGTTTCAAACTGTAAAACTTAAACTAAACTGCCTTGAAAACAAAAGGAAATAAAAAACAATCAGAAAATGGAAAACTATAATAACTGTGGTATGAAGCAAACTGGCATTTCCAAAGTGCAGCATTTTGCTTTTATTTTACAATGAAGTGTTGAAACTCTCCTGTGAGGGAGAGTCAGAGTAGAAGGAGGAGGACGTGTCAGTGCCATTTGCCTTGAGGGTGCCCATAAACCTGAAGAGGGAGAGAGAGTGCATCATTCTTTACAGGTGAGTGTACCATGTGACCTCAAGATCTTTAAAAAGCAGGTAAACCTGTCTTGTTGAGGCACAAGTTATCACACAGCACCAGGGGACTCAGAGCAGGAGAATACACGGGCTGTCGGCACAGCAGCAAACACCGACAGCCCCACAAAAGAAGCCGAGGCACATCAGCGAGTGTGCGACGGAGTGCTGGAACCCTGCACTCACAGCTCCTCGTGCAAACCACATCTAGGATTTTCACTGAAATTGCGCTACAAGAAGGAAGATTTTACATTGTCTCATCTGGTGCGCGCACTACCGACACAATGAGCTGCAGCAGCGTTGCGAGCTCCGAGTTCTCTGAGGAAGAGCTTGAACTTGGCGGTCTGGTCCAATGCGAAGATGAAGGAAGTCCCAAGCCATCATTCCAAGACGAGAGTTCAACCAGCAGCCCAAGCGAAGCAGAGGAAGGCCAAACCAAGAAGCGCAACCGACCGGTTCGCTCAAAAGCTCGAAGAATGGCCGCTAATGTCCGCGAGCGAAAACGCATTATGGACTACAACCAGGCGTTCAATGCCCTCCGTGTTGCCCTGAACCATGACCTCAGTGGCAAACGGCTGTCCAAGATTGCCACACTACAGCGAGCCATCAACCGCATCTCTGCTCTCTCAGTATTCCTGAGCTCTCATCCACCCAGTAAGCCCTGCGCCCACCGTGAGTGCAACAGGTCATCAGTGGGACCGGCAGCGATGGGGGCGTCACGGCTTGAGCAGACCAGGTTAACAGTTCCTTGTCCGGAGCATCAGAGCTACGTCCCCTGGCACGCATCCATCTCTCAACAGATGCAGCCACAGCCAGCGCCTCACATGCACAGACCTCATGCCTACATAGACAACACAGTGCCATCATGTCCCCCATCACCACACTACCCTTGTTATCCCACCGAGGGACAGTTTTATGCCTCGCACAGACACTGTGGCACCCCCTGTGATCTTCCACCCAGCCCTCTGAGATACCCTCAGGTGGATGAGGGGTTGGGATACCAGCCGGGGATGTGGGCCTCCTGCACTCAGGGATACATGGACACCTTTGCAGAGCCATCTGCTACTCTGGGACTTCCATGGCAGGTGAGCTACCTGCAGGAGCCGGAGAGCAGCTTCCCCCTGTGCTCTGATATACTGTAACAAGCTTCACAAGTACTGTGAAGTCCTGAAAACTGAAGAACCCTGATGGACTTTTTAAGGGTTTGAGGGAGTAACCTTGTGCTCTTACTGTTGCTGTTATTGAAACTTACAGGAAGGCTGTGATTGTAGAGCAAACTACAGTCCTGCAAGCTGAACACAGATAAAGGAGCAATGGCAATCTAGACTGCAGAATATTACATATGTTAGGTATTTTGTTTTGATGTTGAATTTGAAAATGTTAATTCTAAAGAATGTTTTGCAATCTACAGATGACAATTCACATAATTATATTTTTGCTGTGCTAAATTGTCCCCTTTTTCGGCCTTCTGCAAAGGATGAATTATTGGAGTTGCATTAGTAAATGTAAGGTAATAAAAATGGGTGTGTCGGAAATAAAAACAGACAGACTAGCATAAAAAACAGTGCTATGTAACTATGCATACAGCATGCTAGCTTTCAAGTAGTACAAAGCGCTCTGAAAGAAAATGTGACTAAGATCTGGTTTCAACATTCAACATGCTTATGTATTTATTCTCTGACTTTAAAAAGTACAGTCTGTTTGTGTTGTAAAGACGCTGCTTTTCCTTTGCTTTTTCCAAGCTTGAAAATTAAATGTTTAAAATGATAGATGACTCTTTTTATGGCTCCTTTCATAAGAAAACAGAAAATGCATATGGTTCCAAGGACTACAACACTGCACTAACACAAAGCTTGCATTAAGCGTGTGCATCAGTGTGTGCATGCATGCCTGTGGGAGTGTGTTTGATTATAACCTAAGGCTGGTAGCCTCTGCCATTCAGAGTGTGAGATGACAGAGGTCCTTCACTCAGATGAGAAACGTCCGTACAAGCCCATTCTTGCCATTCTTCTTGGAGGAGAGAACTCACTGTGTTATTTACTTACAGCACAATAAAAACACGAGTAGAAGGCAAGAATGGCGAAGCAACAAAAGCACATAAAAATCAGGCAATACTGGTTGAAAATTGTATGTATTGGCTCTTGAAAAGAATTCACTTCTTATATTGTACCTTTCAGTTCAAACACTGAGAGGTCAGCTGATCTTCTTTGAAATCAGAAACAGCGAATAGTAAACACAAGTCATCCTAGACCGGCTTATATTAGTCAATAACAGCTTTCCCTCCCCTGCTGAGCAGCATGTCATGGAAAACAGCTTTAATGTTAGACCATAGGACGAAGCCCACCGACAGATTTATATGGGTTCAGGAAGGAAGAGTGTGCCCCGTCATCAGCAAGGTGAAATCCCCTTTTGGGCTGCACCGGCCTGGAGGTACAGCTGGGTGTGTTCAGGGTTGTTTTTTTTGAACGTCCTGGAGGTCTCCCAACAGGAGCCTCGAGACGCTGCTGAAAATTGATGGCCTGGGGAGAACTACTGTGGGCTCGGTGGAGAAATAAATGGTGTGGTGCAGCAACAATTAGCAGACAGGAAGGAAAGGGAATGTGGACAAAGAGATGAATGGAGAGTGAAATAATAGGAAGAGGAGGATATAGGTGGTGAGAAAAAGGGGGAGAGTCACTACACTTTGAGCCTGTCGTTCAGCTTCTGTGCAGACGTGAATCACTGGAAAACCTTGAGTCACCAGTGAGAGACGAGTGTGGCTGATAGCACTCGATGACGGCATGTCTCTTCCTCCTCCCTTTCTGGCACAAATGTGGATCTTCGCTTAACTCATTGCAAGGGTCCTACTGGTTTGGGTCCTCAAGAGACTACCAAGGGCTGTACCACAGCTTGTCACTGATCCGTTACAGAATCAAAATCAGAGAAACTCATTATCCACACAGGCAAATAAAAGTGCTGTTCAAAAGAGCGATAATCGAAATAGATTTATAACTTTCCAAAGCCTGGGACAGCACATCTTCTGCTAAGGTCAATGCTTTATCTTGTTATGGGTTCTGTTTTTGTCTGTGTTCATAAAATTTTAGTTTAGTAGCTTTTGTGTTGTCGACAGACAATGGTAACAAAAGCACACAACAAAAAAAACACAACAAAACTCACAAAAATCCCCCATAAAATACTAGCAGCCTTCTAATAGATAATATCAATGGTATTAGCACCTGTACTAGTCCAAGATTTTTAGTAGATGCATCTATGGTAAGAATATCTAATTACATTGCCTCGTTATCGATTTATCGCATTCACAAACTTGGGTGTCCACACTGCAGGGTGACGACAATATCCTATCAGTCTTTTACAGCTGAGGGGCAAAAACCTCACAAAACACAAGTGTTTCTGGGGAGACAACTTGATGAAACAGCTGCAGAAGTGACAAGCTAACCATGAACGGCTAATACCAAACATGTATCTACAGTATTATATGACGCATGCGATAAAAACACACAACATTTGCATCTTTGTCACTGTGAAATTCTTTGCATGTTTTGGTTTCTGGCACTTCTGTTGCTGTTCTTCAAATGAATGTCTCCTCAAAAACACTTTGTGTGATTTTTGTCCAGGCGATCGTGGCTCAAGAGTTGGGCGTTCGCCTTGTAATCAGAAGGTTGCCGGTTCGAGCCCTGGCTCGGACAGTCTCGGTCGTTGTGTCCTTGGGCAAGACACTTCACCTACTGGTGATGGGCCGATGGCGAGATATGGCAGCCTCGCTTCTGTCAGTCTGCCCCAGGACAGCTGTGGCTACAACTGTAGCTGCCTCCACCTGTGTGTGGATGAGCTGTATACAAATACAGGCCATTTGTGTGGATTTTTTTTCTATTCCTACTGTAGGTTTTTATTTTCAACTTCTATTCTGTTTTGTGTGTTTAGCGTCAGTTTTCTGTTTGTTTGAATACTCTGAGGAAGTGTTTGTGGATGAAACAGTTAAACATAGAATAAACAGTATAAGTGACCACAGGTTGTGGACTAGTGCTACACATCTTGTGGGAAACAACAGAATCCAACAGACTTTAAATAAAACGTCATAACAAGTTAGCATTTCATGTTTACTTGTGACTCACCTGTGCATTTACCTCACTTCTTCACCATGTGAGCCTGTCAGTGATGCATCTTTTTTAAAGACCGCTCCACCTCCGTGATACCTTCTGCTGCCAGACTGATGGAAAGGAAAACAAGCAAACACAGAAGAAATGATGCCAAGACCTGAGGGTGTGTTTGCGTGATATATAGGGATGAGTCAGCCTTCGGAGAGAATCTACATGTTGATGCTCTACATACTGCGTACACCTCTGCTCCCTGAGCACAAACAGGTGCGCGCACCCAAACACAACACACACACGCAGCGCTATGACATCTGCGGTGCAAGGTGAAGGAAGTGAAGGTGCCAGAGGACAAGAGAATGTGTATGCCGCCGGCAAGATTTAGGAAAGTCAGTGTAGGTATTGGGCAACATGTTGGCACGGTGGTTAGCACCATCTCTGTGTGAAGTTAGCGTATTCTCCGCGTGTCTGTGTGGGTTCTCTTTGGGTATTCAAGAGTCCTCCCACAGTTTTTTCTAAACCAACAAATACTAAAACTTGAAATTTGCCCCTATATATTGTTTTAAAAATTATTTCCGTCAGTCTTCCAAGTTTGGAAAAATATTTTCAGTGAGGTTTTTTCCCCCTCAAAAGTCAGTTACAGTTCAGTTACGTTGTATTCAAATAATGCCAAATCACAGCAACCATCATGTCAAGGGAACTAATATTGTAAGGTAAAGACCCTACACCTACAATAATACAGAGAAAAGCCCAACCATCAGATGATCCCCAGTGAGCAAGCACTTGGTGACAGTGGGAATGAAAAACTCCTTTTTAACAGGAAGAATCCTCCAGCAGAGCCAGGCTCAGGGAGGGGCGGGGCCATCTGCTGTGACTGGATGGGGATGAGGGGAGGGACACGGGACAAAAGCCACTGTGGAAGAGAGGCAGAGATTAATAATAACTAATGAGTCATTGCAGAGAGTGAAAAGAGGTGAGTGAAAAAGAAGTGCATCATGGGAAGCAATTGGAAGTACACCAGTATATTACCAGCTCATGGATAACAGCTGATCAGGGCTGAAACTCTTTGGGCTTAACTACTCTGAGGCCTTCAGGGGTTGAAACTAATCTCATATCCAAACAACACATCAGAACATTTACCTCACCAGTCCAGAGTAAACATACTCACCACTAACACTCGGCGGAGATGGAAACTCCATTTCTCATCAGTGTAGAGGAATAGCTTGTGTCCTCTGTGTGATCTAATTGTTATACCGTCGACCCCGAGCGTCTGCTGAGTCAGAGAGGCTGCACATCTCTCCTGTGCCTTCCCTCAGACTCAGTCTGCCTCACCATGCTCATCAACACTAGTGCTTCAGACTGCTAGGCAGCAGTCTGCAGCACAAACAATGTTCCCTCTGATAACACTGGAGACAGATGTCTTGGTCATAGTCCTCTACTCTGGAGCCATCTCCTCCTCTGGCAGGAACTTGATACAGTCACACTAACTTGGAAACATTGGACGTGGTCAGAGCAACTATGTAGAGCTTTCCTCCCCATTTTCTCCTCCTCCTTCTTTCTCGCCCTGAGGTTATTTTCAACATGAATGACTTGGTGTCTGACCTTACACAGGGCTGTTATGGCCTCTCGCTGTGTCCACTCATGATCTTATCTGCAGACTTCTCATGTAGGATGTTTACCAGAAGTTTTGTGTGTGGTAAAAAACTTGTAAAAGTCACGACCTCTTTAATCTGAGGTTCTGAGCAAGGTCAAAAGTAGTCGAGACTCAGATTATCTGGGGCCCACCACTTCAGCAAGGGCATCTGAGGGGCAGTTGGAGGGTCTGCACTTTGCTGTGTGTTGTGGTGGGCTATAAAAGAAAGTGCTGATGTGGAGGGGGTCGCGCTTTCTGATGAGTTGGCTTGTTGAACCTCTGGTGTTGGGCTCAGTAATGCACGAGGAGAGTCTGCTAACCCCTTGTGCTGAGGAGAAATACAAAAGATTCATCTGTTTCATTCTTATCCTTCAATCCAGATTGTGTTTCAGCACAACCAGGCAAAAACAGTCACAAC